CTTTTTTGTGCAGAAGATTTTTAGTTTGATATAATCCCATTTGTTTTCCTTTTATTGCCTGTGCTTTTGGGGTCTTATTCATAAACTTTTTGTCCAGTCCTACATCCTGAAGTGTTTCCATTATGTTTTTTACTAGGAGTTTTACAGTTTCGTGCCTTATATTTAAATCTTTAATCCATTTTGAGTTGATTTTGGTATATGGTGAGATATATGGGTCTAGTTTTTCTTCTCAAAACACCAATGGAACACTACTGAGCCATAATAAAGAATGAAAGTCTGCCATTCTCAGCTACACGGATGAGTTTGGAGAAAATTATGTTAAGTGAAACAAGCCAGGCACTGAAAGAGAAATATGTTATGTTTTCACTCATAAATGGGACCTTAAAAAAATTTTAAAAAGAAAGGAAGAAAGGAAGGAAGAAAGAAAAGGATGGAAAGAAGGAAGGAAGAAAGATCAAAAAATAGTGAGTTGAAACAAGACTGTGGGAGTTCACCACCACACAATCAGCCCTATAAGAAATCCTCAAGGAAATCCTTCATCTGGAATCCAAAAAGTGATAATCACTACCAAAACTGCACAAGAAAGATCAAAACCCAGTGATAGAACAAAAATACATAAAAGACAAAGAAACTAAGTCTTATGACCACAAAAATCCATAATGACAATGTAATAGTGTCCCTGCTTTATTTCTGATTTTTAAAATTACAGACTTTTCTCTATTTTTTTTTTCACTCAGTCTAGATAAAGGTTTGCAAATTTTGTTGATCTTTTTAAAGAATCAACTTTTGGTTTTGTTGATTTTCTCTATTTTTTTAAAAACCCTATGTGATATATTTCTGTCGTAATCTTTATTTCCTACTTATATTTGCTTTTAGTTTAGTTTGCTCTTCGTTTTTGATTTTCTTAAGGTGAAAGTTTACATTACTCATTTGAGATTTTTCTTATTTTTAGTACAGGTGTTTAGAAGTATAAATTTTTCTCTAAGCACTGCGTGAGCCCTGCATCCTATAAATTTGATATGTTGTGCTTTGGTACTTATCTCAAAGTACTCTCTAATTCCTCTGTGATTTTTCTTTTTACCCATTGCTTATTTAATTTCCACAGATTTGTGAATTTTCTAAATGTTCTTCTTTTATCATGGTCAGAGAACATATTTTCTGTCCTCTTAGTCTATTTAAATGTATTAAGACTTGTTTTGTGGCCAAAAATAAAATAAAATAAAATAAAATATAAATAAATAAATAAATATTTAAATGATGAGTTGAACTTTGAGAAAGAACAGAACTGTGGTTACTAGATAAAATAAAATAAATAAATATTTAAATGATGAGTTGAACTTTGAGAAAGAACAGAACTGTGGTTACTAGAGGTGGGAAAAGGTGAGGGGGAGAGGGATGGTGAGAAATTGGTAAATGGCCACATGAAATGATTATATTTTGTAAAGATGAACATGCTAATCATCCTTATTTGATCATCACACATCATACACAGGTATTGATATTCAACTCTGTACCCCACAGATGTGTTTTTTTGACAGTACTTAAATATTTGCAAATACTTTTAATTATACAAATCAGACATTTTATGGTTAATTAGATCAATAAAAAAAGAAGAACCTCTTTCCATGGCCAACTTAGAATTGCTCTCACCTTTCTATAAGCTAAGATTTTAGAATAAAGGATTTCAGATGAGACTCTTGTTATTTTTAGGTTAGTATATGTTATAAGTTACAGCAGACTACCACTGTAAAGTGAATTATGCCCAGTGTCCTATTATAAGTTACATTGTCAGGCATGGCTGTGGAATACAAATGAAATAAAATCTAAAATGCTAAATTTTTAACAGGCAATGGCAGCAATAAATTAAAATGCTAAAAATGATTCATCAGGTACATGTTACTGTAATTAACTCATTGCACTTCAAAACTTAATTTCCATCCTGAATTTATCATGTAGATTAAGTGTTTTCATCTGTTAACCAGCTCTAAACACATGATTGTCTAAATATATATTTATTTATTTATTTTTCCCTGGGTTACTTTTTTTTCCTCTCTATTTTTTATTGAATCATAATTGATTATACATATTTTGGGGGTTCAATGTTGATGTATGTTGATCAAATCAATATTATTAGCATATTCATTATTACAAATTGTACTTATACTTTATGCCCCTTATCCAGTTTCTCCAATCCCCCTCTCCCTCTACCTTCCCACCTCTGATAACCCTAGAGTTCTTATCTCCTTCTGAAAAAGTGATGGTTACTCTGTTGATTTGTTGATTACATGATCTGTCCAGTACTGAGAGAGGTGTGTTCAGGTTCCACAGTATTATCATAGAGCAGATGCCTCTTTCACTCTGGAGTGGGCTTTGTGAACAGAGACATCCTCTTCTTTTCTTTGGTCTCCACTGGTGAATCTCCTTCTGTCAGTGCACTTGAGTGGCTAGCAGGCCATCTGCACCATGGTTATGGAGTCTAGCCATTTTTGTGGCAGCCATGGCTACTGTAGTGGCTGTGGTAAGCCACCCACATGGAGTGGCATTTTTGGTGTGCTCCTTGCCTAGTTGTAGGAGGAGGGTCAGTCCCTGTCTCCATGCCTCAGGACCCCAGGCAGGCCCGTGGCAGCAGTGGCATGCCTGGTTGCAGGATCCCCACAGATATGATTAATCAATTATTTTTCAATTGAAAAATATATCTCTACGCACACATGAAAAAGAAACAATGTGGGATGATGAATATATTAATTTGTTTCACTATGGTAACCATTCTGCCACATATATGTATCTCAGAACATGTTGTGCACTTTAAAGATAACAATAAAACTTAAAAATAAATAAATAAAGATGCTTCAACTAAACTCTAGAAATCTTCTCAACTAACTGCCCTCTGTATTCAGAGACTGAGTTTATAGATTGTTCTAACCATTAATCTTTGTTTTCATTTTATTTTAGTTGGTTTTGATTGAGGGGACTTTGGCTAGGTAGTACACCCCAGTCTGTTGGTATTGTGCTCATGGTAGTCATTATTATAATTTCCCTGGTAATCATGAGTTCTATGCTGAGACAAAGACAAATTAGCCATAATGGTGACAGAAAGTGGCATGTGTGCCTGAGTTTTAGTAAATCTCCCATAATTGAGAGACTGATCAAAATAGAGGAAATTGTTAAAATAATTTAAGAAGAGTTCATTAGGCTGAGATGGCTCCAACAAAGTGGCTTCTTATCTAAGTAAACAGAAACCCAACTTAGCGTAAAGGGTAAAACAACAGTTAATTTGATCAATCAGAAACTGTCAAATAACCTCCAGCTGAAGACTTTCTACTGGAAAGATTCAAATAAATCTACTGCTCCACATTAACCAATGAAAATTTTTTTTTGGCCTTGAGTCCTCATTCACTCTGCAAAATCCTTCCTCTCTTGACCCTTTAGAAGAGCCTCAAACAACATGCAGTCTGGTATTGCCCAGTTTATTGTCTCCTCAAATAAACTCTAAGTAATGTTCCTATATTCATATTTTAATTACATATATAGGTATATGTATATCATGTAACTATACATACACATGAAAAATACATATGCATGTATACACACATATATACATACATCTTTGTGTGCATACATATATACAGATATAGATACCTAAAACATATACACATATAATCTGATAAAAATGACAATCCAATAAAAGAAATCAAAGAGGGATGTTATTAATTAGGTTTCTGTTTGAGAAAAAACCAATCTGACAGCAATGTTGGGAAGTGAGAGAGTGCTAGAGGTTGGAGGAGATAAGTAGCTAGAGACTTGCAAAACTACAAGTGAGTGGTCTTTAGGATGAGGGCCTGTGTGGTATCCGTGAGAATGTGAATGGAATTACAGTGCTGACAGTTGAAGGGCGAGAGTGGACTAGAAGTTGTGTGACGCATTTAATTAAAGAGTATAAAGCATAAAGACAGCAAACAATCAAGGACTTTCCAGGCAGAAAATATCCAATTCTTTCTCATTTCCATGTTGTTCCCACTACTCACAGGACACTATAATGTCATATCATCTTAACGTTATTTAAATTTTGGTGATATGAATTTAAAATTCCTGGTTGTTGACAATGCATTCCAGTAACTGAGATAGTACTGATTTCTTGTACTAGCTTAATTTTCTTTTTGATCCTAGGAAGACTGAAATCATTTCCTTCCATTTCTGCCACTTATCTCTTCTTCTCTACGTCCACTTCAATAATTGTTCTGTTTAACCTGTTAGATTTATAAACTAGTGAAGTTCTTTAGATTGTCCAAAAAATATGCTAACATAACTGAAAAGGGCCTTAGGAGGCATCGTAGACAATTAGAGGCAACTTCCTTCTTCTTACTCGTACAGGCACACTGAGCTAAGAGCCTCCTCTTACACTTTGGCCCTGCCTTCACTGTCTTAACTCCCAACTCATTTTTCTTCTAGTTACATTCTCATTATTATTATTATTATTATTTTTGCTTGATATGTGACTTGATTCACTTCAAGAAATAAAATTCATCATTTTCCAAAAAAGTGGGATGAAACATCTTTTGATGGCTATCAAAATTCCTGGGATTTGGAATTCACCCAAACACAAACCTGCCACCACAATAAAGTCAAACATGTTGAGAGTCCCAATACAACTGTATCAGTGTCAAAGACATCATACTCAAGGTCTCATCAAATGGACTACATTATTTTACCATTTAATGCCTTTATACATATGCGCTGAATAATATACAAGACCATAAAATATTTTAATGTTTTTTGTTATATTTTTCTGTTATATGAACAATTGCTTAAAAATCTTTGAACACACTCAAATAACATGTGAGAATACTTTACTTGGTTTAATAAGTACAAATAAGTCCTTAGAGTGCTAGGAGAGTTATAATTGCAAAAATTTTGAGCATTAACAAAAACATAGGGACCTTTATCTTGTACAATTTTGTAACTATTTTTTACTCAGAAGAGAAGAAAGTTTAGCATGACATCTAAACATTTCTCTTTAACATTTTTGTAAGTGTACTTATTACTTGTTTGTTTCTCAGGCTGTAGATAACAGGATTTAACAAAGGAATTATGACCATGTAAAACAGAGACTCCATCATATCTTGATCATCCCCTTGTGGTGATCGAGGGTGCACATACATGAAGAGGAGAGGGCCGTAGTACAAAGACACAGACAAGAGATGGGCTCCACAGGTGGAGAAGGCTTTCCTTATACCTTTGATGGACTTCCTTTTTAAGACGGTAAATAGAACAAACATATAAGAGACGAGAACAATCACAATTGTGAATACCTGAATTGAACCAGAGAAAATAAAAATCATTAGAAAATTAATAGAAGGATCAGTACAAGAAATCTTTAACAATGGGATAATGTCACAATAAAAGTGACGTATTACGTTGGAATTACAGAAGGTTAATCTGAATAAAAATCCTTCATGAATTAAGGCATGAAAAAAGCCACTTACAAATGATGAGACTAATAGTTTGATGCATACTCTATTGGTCATAATTACCGGATAGAGTAAAGGTTTGCATATGGCTACATAGCGATCATATGCCATTGATGCCAAGAGAAAACATTCTGTGGTTACACTAACTGCAAAGGAAAAAAATTGTACCATGCATTGGGAGAGAGATATCATCTTACTCTTGGCTAAAATGTTGACCAGCATCTTCGGGGTAACTGTGGATGATATCCAAGCATCCACAAAGGCTAAACTGCCAAGAAAAAAGTATAGAACAAACATATAAGAGACAAGAACAATCACAATTGTGAATACCTGAATTGAACCAGAGAAAATAAAAATCATTAGAAAATTAATAGAAGGATCAGTACAAGAAATCTTTAACAATGGGATAATGTCACAATAAAAGTGATGTATTACGTTGGAATTACAGAAGGTTAATCTGAATAAAAATCCTTCATGAATTAAGGCATGAAAAAAGCCACTTACAAATGATGAGACTAAAAGTTTGATGCATACTCTATTGGTCATAATTACCGGATAGAGTAAAGGTTTGCATATGGTTACATAGCGATCATATGCCATTGATGCCAAGAGAAAACATTCTGTGGTTACACTAACTGCAAAGGAAAAAAATTGTACCATGCATTGGGAGAGAGATATCATCTTACTCTTGGCTAAAATGTTGACCAGCATCTTCGGGGTAACTGTGGATGATATCCAAGCATCCACAAAGGCTAAACTGCCAAGAAAAAAGTACATGGGGATGTGAAAGTGAGGGTCATTCCAGATGACAGCAATCAGACCAAGGTTCCCCACGATGGTTATAAGGTATATTACCAAGAACACCAGGAACAGGGGAATTTTCCACTCTGTTTGATACATGAGTCCTGTGAGAACAAACTCGGTTCTCAGTGTTGCATTTTTCTTTTCCATGTCCTCACAATGTCCTGTGAAATAAAATGTAGTAAATACAAAAAGAACATTCACAACAGAAATATGTGCTGAAATTTGGAGAACAGTGTTGAAATAGACTACATACTTATCAGAGCCTTCTTAATTTTATTTATTATTGCTATAATAGATGGACATTATATTTGGGGAATTAAAGTAACAAAAAATGCAATACTTTCATGCAGGACTTAACAGATTTTTTTTTTCCTTTTTGTCTTTTTTACTGACCGGCAATGGGATCACAACCCTCGGTGTTGCACCCGCACCGCACTCAGCCAGTGAGCGGGAACCGGTCTCCACATGGGATCCGAACCCTCGGCGGGAGCGCCGCCATGCTCCCAAGCGGCACACTCTCCAGTGCGCCACCGGGCCGGCCCAGGAATTAACAGATTTTGACAAAGGGAGAGGCATTCTATGTATGTGCTACATTTATGTGGACACTATGGAGTCTGGCCAAAAAAAAAAAAAAATCCTGTGCATGGGACATGGATGCAGTGTCAAAGGAAAAAGGTTTTTCAAGGGACTGAATTTTTAAAAAACGAATTGAATGCCATGTGACAGATCTTGAACTTTATTCTTCAGGAAATAGGCGTGCACCCAAAATTTTAATACAGGGAGTGATATCATAATATATATTTTTTTAATTTAGTTTTTGATAGTGTAAGAAATACGTTGCAGAGAGGGGAAACAGGAATCAGGAATGCTAATTAGGAACCTGTTACTAAGGTCCAGGTTACACCAAACCAGATTACACATCAGAATTGTCTGGATGAGCTTTTTGTGAAAAATATAGATTGTGAGGTTCTAATGTAGAAATGGATCACATAGTTTAAAAGTGGTCCAGGATTCTGCACTTCAAAACTGCTCTCTTGATGATTCAAATTACACATGTCGAATCCATATGGATACAACATTGGAAGAAATGGTGAAACAGAGATTACTTCAAAATAATTGAGAATGTAAAGTCTCTAGCATACTACAACACGATTGATGTGAAAGGAGGGGTCAGTGATGGAGAGAAGAGTCACTGGGTGACTGGGTAGATGGTCAGTAAAAATTGAGACTGAGAACTCAGATGTGCTGATGAGTTGGTGGAGTGAGCATCGTCTGAACAACCAGGTGAGATGTAGCCAATAATATAGCTTAATAGAAATAATAACTTGAAATCATTGTGACAGTTGAAGGGGTAGTTAGGGATGACCTATCCATTGGAGAATACACAACGAAAAAAATGGCAAGAAAATAAACTTTAGAAAGTTATATAAAAGAAGTAACAAAGTGGATACATGTCATTTATAAGATGGCCAAGATTTGATCCTCTTTTCTGTCACTCAAAGCTTTGTTGGCTGTCAGAGGTTACCTACTATTCTAGAAGACAAAAGAACTGGAAACTCATTTTCCAACCCCTCTTGCAACTACAGTGAAGGCACATGATCTAGGTTTGTCAGTGAATTACATCCGCCCTTCATTTGGAATATGGAGAGAGAGGGAAAAAATGTTCAGGGAGAAAAGTGGATTTTAATTGCAACCGCAGCCAAGGTGGCAATACCAGGACTCCACCTAACACATTCTTCATCCACATCAGTGGCATTTACAGTGTGAACTTTTCATCTGAAGTTCATTTACAGTAAGAGCAGCAAAGACTGAGCTAGTGTTGGGGTATGAAATTGAATGTTCACTGGCTGCATTACTTTCTTCTGTTCCTGCCAATTTTCCCAGCTCGTTACTCCAATCCCTCTAAGATTTTTGACATAGAACCAGTATCCATCGAACACACTCATTTTCGAAGCAACCAAAAGTCCTTGATGACGCCAAAGAGAGAGGATGAAGATACCAGAAAAGGATGCTAAGCAGAGTGATCAGAAAAGCAGGAGGGAAACTGGAAAGCTGAGAGTTATGGATGTAAGAGAGGAAAGATACTCAAGAAGGACAAGGTGAGTACTACACTAAACGCCAAAGTAAATGCTCTAGTAAGACAATGAGTGATTTGAGATCTTTGGGTGTGGAATTAGCAAAGTTTTAATGGTTTTATTGAGAAAAATTTCCATGCTGTGTTGGAGTTGAGGCCAGAGAATAATTCAAAGTGAATGGGAAACAAGTGGCATAGCAGTGAGGAGAAAGAAATAAAATACTCTAAGAAATGTGGAGAACATTTGGCATTTGTGTGCTGTCATAGACAAATGTAATTTTTTTACTGTGGAACATTTTAATGAAAGTTTTCAAAAGAGGAGGAAAAATAAGAGCATGTAAGGAGGAAAGGAAGAGGGAAGAAGAAAGGGAAATTCTCATGGCTGAAAAGAAAATGAGAGAAGAGGAAAAATATGCAGAGAATAAAAGAGGAATATATGGATACATGTAGGAAAGACAAGCCAAAGAGGAGGGAGAGAGGAAGCATCAGAGAAAGCTGAAAGTGAAATAAAGGGAAAGCACATAGCCTTACAGGTAAATGTTTCATGTAAACCCAGTGTTTATTACAGGAGGTCAATCCTGGGAATCTTTACTTTTCCTTTTATTCAATATTCAAATTTTATTTTGATATGAAAATAGTGTATAAAAGAGAGGTTTGATTTAAAATTTTACTTTACAAACTTTGCGTTTCTCATAAATATACTTGCATCGTCTGAAAGTTCTTCCCATATTTAAAAGTTGCTTCACATTCCTACTGACAGTGATTGGAACTGACACCCCAGAAATTCTGATAGCTCTACCTGAGTATACTTTCTTCTCTGCCACTTTTTTTTTAGCAGAATACAATTGAATCAATGAGTAGAACCTGATATAGCAATATATATAGCAATGCCAATAATCTCAGTTGTTAAATACATATTTATTTGGAATGGGCTTACTCCACAAAATTTAGCAGAATACAATTGAATCAATGAGTAGAACCTGATATAGCAATATATATATATAACCAATGCCAATAATCTCAGTTGTTAAATACATATTTATTTGGAATGGGCTTACTCCACAAAATTCCAAATCACTAAATAACTGAAATTGAAATTTTTCAAATTCAGTTTGTATGTGGGTACGTATTAAGTTGTAAATAATGGAAAGAGCAGTGGAGTGACCCTTTCTGCATATTTTCTGAGATATATATACATATGTAAAAACTGTCAATGAAATTGTTGTCAGAAGTAGGAAAAAGGATACAGGAGTTAATGTTTAAGTGACTGACCTTAGTTTTAATCTGAGAGTGTGACTAATTAAAAAGAATACTTATTTATATCATAATCATCAGAAATAATTCTAATATGAGAATTATTATGATCTAAATCTTTAAACCCAGTTTTAAATTGTTTAATGTTATAGTTCACCAAAACTTCTTGTAAAGCCATGATAGTTAGGTTAACAAAATAATACAATATAATTAAAGAAGAATTCAGTCTTAAAACGATATTACTTAAACATATTGTACTCGTAAAAATATAAAATAAATACAATCAGCTATAGTTGCACAATTTCAATCTGGCTGTTTTAACAACCTGTAAACCCAATCTATAATCACAATAAATTAAACAGCATTTTAAACTTTTTTATAAAGAATAATGAATATTACAGAAGTCATATTTCTCTTACCTGTATCTTGAAAGAAATTATGGAGATTCTTTAAAAGTGTTAGGTTTTCTAAAACAGAAAGAATACAATAGTACAGCAATGCCAATAACACAGGTAGCAAATTGTCGCACACTGAACATTTCCCAAGCTCAGGAAAATATTGTTTATATAAATTTCCTTTAAACACAAGGATCAATCAATTGTATAACTGTCTGCTTTTGCCTGGAGAGGAGCGAGAGGAGAACTGAAATTCCCAGAAGAGTGCCAGAAGATTCCCTACAGGACAAATTGAAGCTGTTCTACTGGGCATTGTGGATTTGGATGTAAGTAAGAAGTCCAGGTTGTCCCAAAGGGCATTACAGACTTCTTAAATAATAAACATCATTTTATAGCTGACACTTCTAGTTTTAACAATTGAAATTATACTTTATGTCACTATTTTCCACCACAGGTGACATTTCTGTCATGTTTATGCAAACTTCAGTTTACATATAAAATTTTCTCTTAGTGCTTTGATTAGTATGACCCTATCTGAGGTAACCAAAACATTATTTTAATAAGGCCAAAGGTCTAGATTTCCTTCAGGAGTCAACCCTCAATACAGTTATCTTCCTCATGCAAATTGCAGCTCAAATTCCAAACATATACCTAGCTTCCCATCTTTAAGCTGAAATCTGATAGGAAATCTTATTAGGCAAAGGTTAGAGAAAGGATCAAATGAAAAACAAACACGAAGAACCACAGTTGGAGGTGGGCTATATCTGCACTTCCCAAACTTCGATACCTATGAATTTCCTGGAGATCTTGTCAAAATGCAGATTCTGTTTCAGTAATTCAGGGGTGTGGCTCTTAGAAGTCTTCATTTCTACCAAGGTGATGCCTATGGACACTTGGCATCCACGGGGCTTTCATCATAAGAGTGTCTAGATTATCAGGAATCTTAGATCAATAGAGCAACATAAAATAATAAATGTAAAAGCCAGTAGATTGAGTGAAAGACTGGCCTCGCACCTTTTCTACATGTTCCTTTATAAGGTTTCTGGCCTTGCAGTAAGCAAAGGATGTCACTTTATGAAAGGACTAGAAAATTTAAGGTATTTGGGAAACATACAGAGGAGAGGAGTTCATGCAATGCCTGAAGGTACAGTCTAGGAGTGAGTCAAATCTATGGTTGGGCTTCCTGAGCCATGAGAGGCTTTTAAAGGTCTAATCTGAGATTCCTAATAAGAGTCACAACAAAACCAATTTTTAAAAGAGCCTATACAACAAAAGACCCAAATAGCCAAAGCAATCCTGACCAAAAATTAATTAATTAATAAAGCTGGAGGCATAACACTACCTGACTTCAAATTAAATAACAAAACTGTTGTAACCAAAACAGCTTGGTGCTGGCATAAAAACAGACACTCACATCAATGGAA